GGGCCGCGTCGAGGAGGTGGTCTTGGGGACATGAGGCCGAGGAGCACGTCTCGGACGGGCTGGCCGTGCCGAGGAGGTGGTCTCGGGAACATGAGGCCGAGGAGCACCTCTCGGGCGGGCTGGCCACGCCGAGGAGGTGGTCTCGGGGACATGAGGAAAGATCGTCGTTCTTTTTAAGCGTCGAGGAGTCGCAGCGGCCGTTCTCCACGCCCTTTCCTGCAGCGACCTCGGGCTCGCATTTATGATGGGGTGTTCGTTGGTCTTCCCTGATGCGACGAGCGAGTGTGCGGATGAGCTGTTGGGCGCTATGGGGAGACGAAAGGACGTCTCTCCTGGCGGGATTTATTCCATATAAACGGCGAACTAGGCCCATTTCACGATTCCTGTTGCTGAGTCTTGGGCCTCGTCGTCCTTTCTGTCATCGCTCCCTCTCCTTCCCTACGCTGTCACTCCCCAGTCGCTCTCCCGTCGTCCCTCTTGTTCGCCCCAAGGCCGGTAAGGATGCCCCTCTCGCCTGTCTCTTCACCTTCGTCTCTTGATAGAGCCCGGGAGTGCACGCCTCCGCCCTCCCCAGACGAGGAGGCGGTGCGAGCCCTTGAGGCTCTAATGTGGCCGCATGACCTCGACTCGGTGGTGAGCGGGTCGTTGCTGGAGAAGCTCCGGGAGCGTAATCACATCCCGGAGGAGTTTGTTCTGGTCGCACCTGATCCGGGGCAGCGGTCGTACGACCCAGTCCCTCGAGGTTTTGCGCTGACTCAAGATGCCCTAGAGGCTGGGTTGCGCCTTCCCCTGCACCCCGTCATTGTCTCCTGTCTTTCTCTGTGGCGGATTTCGCCTTCCCAGGTGACGCCTAACTAATGGCGTTACCTGGTAGCGTTCTTAGGGGAGTGCTACTATGCTGATATCACCCCTACCCGAAACCTCTTTCTCTCTTGTTTCCGTCTTCTCAAGGGGCCGGGGGGCTATTTCGTGTCAGCCCGGGCTGGCTTTCGCGTCGGGGGAGCCCCTTCGAATAACAAAGGGTGGAAGGGGCTTTTTTTTTACGTTAGTTGGCCGAGGGATTGGGGCTTCGGAGTTCGGTGGGCGGTGAGGGTAATAGATAACACAGTCCCAGACTTGAACGACGAGGAGCGTCGGGATTCGAAGAGGCTTCGGGCGATCCTTCCCGGTTCTCAGGCCATCCGAGCTATGACCGAGGAGTGGCTGGCCGAGGCGGGTCTTAGCCCGGCCTTCGGGGGTATGTCTATAGCAGGTGTTCTCTATGTCTTGTTTGTTTCCACAGTTTGTGATGGTTTGCTTATCCCCTTCGTAGGGATGAAGCTCCTGTCCCTCCGCGGTGGTCGCTCCTCGTCGGCTTTTTCCCCACGCCAGTCCGCTGCTTCCTCTCCACGCCCCTCGGCCGACCCGTTGCCCAGCTTGTCGGATGCTCCGTTAGAGATCCCAGAGGGCCGTCCGTCGAAGAAGGCAAAGACGACGGGTCCCGGGAGAGCCAAGGCAGGGGCCACTCCTTCGACAATCGTGGGCGCAAAGCGGACCGTTCGGGACGAAGTGCCTTCCCGAGTTGAAGGGCCCAGCCAAGGGGCGGCCGGGAAGAGGTCGAGCCTGCCCACGGTGGATGATCTATGCGGGCTACGCACGGGGGCCGACGAGCCCTTATGGTCAGTGGTGATGGGCGAGCTCCCGCCGGGGGAGGCTTCCGACCCGCTGGTCGCCCGATGGAAAGGGCTGTCCCGAGGGGACAAGGTATGGGCCGGGGGGGATCCCTCGGCTGCTTTTCTTCGAGGCGTGCTCCACCCCGACCTGGCTCGGGACCTATACACTCTGCCTTCGGAGGCCATGCTCAACAAGGTGGGGAGGTTTCTAACACTGGTAAGTGTTTTGTTAACTCCGGGCATCCCTGCGACTGTGCGCTAACCCTTCTTTTCCTATGGCAGGGCTTCCACTATTCAACGGCGCTAATGGACCGAGTGCGCGATGCTGGCCAGGTAATCTGGAACCTCAGCGAGCGCAACTTCGAGCTGTGCCGCGAGCTAGAGGAGGTTCGGGCCGGGTCGGGGCCCGAGGCGGTAGCTGCCGCGGAAAAACGCGCGACCGATTCTGAGGAGGAGGTGGCGCGCCTGAGAGCGGAGCTCGAGCGGTCAGGCGATTCGGTCAAGGAACTCCAGGATTTCCTCCGTTTGGATCGGGTCGAGCTCCGCTTGTTGAAGTCAGAGGCGCTTGGTCTCACCAAGAGGGCGGAGAAGGCCGAGGCTGAAGCCCGTGCTGCTTCCGAGGCGCTGGTCGAGGAGGTTCGCCTCCGCCCATCAAAGGACAAGGAGGCGATCGAAGCCTATAAGAAGTCTGAGAACTTCGAGCTCGGACTGACCCGAATGGGACGAGTATCCTACGAGTACGGATACAGAATTGCCCTGGGTCGCTTCGGCTCGTGCCCTCCTGGCTCCGAGGTGGAAAGGGATCCGTTCGCCTCTCACCCCGTGGACTCGGAGGTGGACATGCCGGATGACGTGCCATTCGACGACCGCCCGCGGACTCTGGGAGAGTGATGAGTGTTTGTTTTTTGTATGTCGGAGTCGAGGTCGAGGGAGTGAGGGGTTTTGTATGAGTTTGGTTTCTGTTCCTCATGGTTTATGGTTCTGTATCCCCTCCTTTTTAATAAAATGATATTTTCTTTCGTTTTCTGTGTTTGTGTAGTGCCTACATCTTCAGACGAAGTATTTCCTAAGGTTCTGTATGTTCCAAGTCCGGGGCACGGGGTCGCCATCTATTGTTGCGAGTCGGAACGTCCCCGGTCGGGATACTCCGATGACCCGATAGGGTCCTTCCCACTTCGGGGTCAGTTTCCCCCTTGCTTGGGTTGGGCGGCTGACCTCGATTTTGCGCAGGACTAGGTCCTCTAATTTTATTGATCAGGGTCGTACCCTCCGATTGTAGACCCTCGCTACGGCTCTTTTGCAAGAAAGAGCTTTCTGGTGTGCGTTGGCCCGTCTTTCCTCGAGCAGGTCCAGGTTGGATCGGAGCCCTTCTCCCGAGGCCTCTTCGCCGTAGTCTGCCGTCCGCGGAGTCGGGATGGCTACTTCGGATGGCAATACGGCCTCGGTCCCGAACGTGAGGCTGTAGGGAGACTCCCCGGTCGGGGTCTTGGCGGTAGTGCGCAGCGCCCATAGGACGCTCGGGAGCTCGTCGATCCAAGCCGATCGGGCAGTGGATACCCTTCTTTTGAGGCCGTCGACGATGGACCGGTTGGTTACCTCAGCTAGCCCATTCGCCTGGGGGTAAGCCACCGAGCTGAACCTCAGTTGAATTTTGTGCTTGGCGCAAAACTCTTGGAATCTCCTGTCGGCGAATTGAGGTCCATTGTCGGTGACGATGGACTGGGGCAGGCCGAACCGAGTTATGAGGTTTCTCCACACGAACCTTTCCACTTGTGACTCCGTAATGGTCGCTAGGGGCTCGACTTCGACCCACCTGGTAAAGTAGTCCACTCCCACGATGATGTATTTCCGCTGGCCGGAGGCGGGTGGGAGAGGCCCGAGTATGTCCAGTCCCCATTGCGCGAATGGCCAAGCACAGTCGACGGGGGTGAACAGGACCGCTGGCCGTCGGGCGGTGCGGGCGTGCTCCTGGCATGAGCCGCACCGCCGCACGAAAGCTTTCGCGTCCTGGCGCATGGTCGGCTAGTAGTACCCCTGTCGGAGTATCTTGTGCGCTAGGGCTCGTTCGCCTATGTGTTCCCCGCAGGCCCCTTCATGCATGTCAGACAGAATGGTCCGAGCTTCGTTCGGCTCTAGGCAGCGTAACAAGGGGCGCGAGAAGGACCGCTTGTACAGCCGTCCTTCCTCTTCGACGTACCATGCCTGCGTCCGACGCAAGCGTCGAGCTGTGGTTTCATTGTCGGGTAGGGCCCCATCCCGCTTGAAGCGTAGCATCTCCTGTACCCAAGTGGCCGGCGCGCCGCCCGTGACCGTGGCGACGACCTCTATGGCTCGGTGGGGGAGCACTTCGGTCTCGGGTCGAGCCCAGGGGGCCGAGCCGGACGCCCATTTTGCCAAGGTGTCGGCTCGCTGGTTCTCGCTCCTGGGAACATTCGACAATTCAAAATGGGCGAACTTGGTGGCAAGGCTTTTTACCTGTGCCAGATATTTCGCCATAGTCAGGTCCCGGGCTTCGTATCCGCCGTCGAGCTGCCTAGCCACCAGCTGTGAGTCGGTGATAACGCGTATGTCAGTCACCCGCATTTCCAGTGCCAACTGGAGCCCCGCCAGGAGAGCCTCGTATTCTACCTCGTTGTTGGTGGCCCTGAACCCGAAGCAGAAGGAGCGCTCGATCGAGCGGCCGTCACGTGTCACCAGCACCAGCCCTGCGCCGGTGCCTTTTGCGTTGGCCGACCTGTCTACGTGGAGGGTCCACGTCTCACGCGATGGCTCGAGTTCCTCGCCTGTGCTCGGGGTCAGCTCCGCAATGAAGTCTGCCACGGCCTGTGCTTTGATGGCGGTCTGCGGTATATACTGTATGTCGTGCTCGCCGAGCTCCACTGCCCATTTGAGGAGACGCCCTGTAACGTCGAATTTAGACAGAACAAGCCGGAGCGGCTGGTCAGTTATTACCTCTATTGGGTGGGCCTGGAAATAAGGGCGGAGTTTTCGCATCGACAGGACGAGCGCCAGCGCCAGCTTTTCGATTGGCGGGTAGCATTCTTCTGGCCCGCTCAGCATGTGGCTGACATAGTAGACCGGCAGTTGGTCGCTGGAATTTTCTTTGACCAGAACCGAACTGACCGCGTGCTGGGAGGCGGCGAGGTAGAGACTCAGTTTCTCCCCAGGGGAGACTGAAGTGGGTCGGGGGAGGTTGGCCAGGTGTTGCTTCATCCGCTCGAAGGCCCTCTCACATTCCGTCGTCCATCGGAAGTTCTTCGGATCCTTCAGGGCCTGGAAGAAGGGGAGGCAGCGATCTCCCGATCGGGAAAGAAAACGTGATAACGCAACTAGCCTCCCGTTAAGGTGCTGCAGGTCTCTGATCGTCCGAGGAGGCTGCATGTCAATGATGGCCTGTATCTTTTCCGGGTTGGCGTCAATCCCTCTCTCATGTATGATGAATCCGAGGAATTTTCCTGAGGTCACGCCGAAGGCGCACTTGGCGGGGTTGAGGCGCAGGCCGAACCTTCGCAGGGTGTCGAATGTTTCAGCTAGGTCGGAAGGATGGGTCTCCACCGTTCGGCTCTTTACGATCATGTCGTCGACATATATCTCCATGTTTCGTCCAATCTGATGGGCGAATATCCTGTTCACCATCCTCTGGTAGGTTGCCCCGGCATTTTTCAACCCGAACGGCATGACTTTGTAAAAATATATCCCTTGCTGGGTGAGGAAGGCTGTGTGTTCTTGGTCTTCGGGTGCCATCTTGATCTGGTTGTACCCGGAGAATGCGTCCATAAACGAAAGACGAGCGTGGCCGGCCGTGGCGTCAACTTGCTGGTCGATCTTCGGTAGGGGGTAGCAATCTTTTGGGCAAGCATTATTGAGACTGGTGTAGTCAATGCACATCCGCCAGCTTCCATTAGGCTTTTTGACAAGGACTACATTGGAGAGCCACTGTGGGTACCTTGCCTCTTCTATGAAACCGGCCGCCAGAAGTCGGTTTACCTCTTCTCGGATGGCCAGTTGCCGATCCGGGGCCTGCCGCCTGGGTCTTTGTTTTACTGGGCGGGCGTCGGACGAGATGTTCAAGTGGTGCAGCGCGACTTCCGGGTGGACTCCGACTAGGTCAGTCGGCGTCCAAGCGAAGATGTCGGCGTTGGCTCGCAGAAGGCCGACGAGCTGCTGTTGCTCTTGTTCGGGCAGTCCCGACCCGATTTTGACTGTTTGGTCGGGCCTTCCTTCGATCAGTGGTAAGTTGATGGTGGATTCCTTCGGCTCGGGGCGGGGGGTCGGTTTTTTTCCCTCCCGGGGGTCTTCCAACGGGGATTGGACCCTCGCTCTCTTGTTTAGTGACACAGCAGTCAAGTAGCAGCGCCTGGACTCCCAGGAGTTCCCCGCCACTTCCCCGACCCCATCGTGGGTCGGGAACTTGATGGTTTGGTAGTACGTTGAGATGACGGCTCGGATCTTGTTGAGGGTTGGCCGTCCGAGGTTGGCGTTGTATGCCGTGGGGAGGTCGACCACCAGAAAGGAGGTCATCACTGTTTTTGCCTTCGGGAAGACTCCCAAAGTTAGGGGCAGGGTGATGACCCCTAGTGACGAGATTGAGGCTCCGGTGAACCCCGTGAGTGTTGAGCGTACCGGCTTTATGTTCTCCTTTACCAGGCCGAGCTTTTGGAAGGTGTCCCAATAAAGTATATCGACCGAGCTCCCAGTGTCAACCATGATCCTGTTGAATCTCGGATTTTGATGATGAAACTAATTGATTGTGTTTAGATGTTTAACTGTATTTTGAGTGATGCAGGTCTACTCGATCAGGATTAGACAATTAACGCAGGAGGAATTGACGTTGCGTCGGAGGAGATCACGTCAGGATATTGGATGGCAGAAGGCTTCGGACGTCGGGCATCGGGCCAAGAGCGGAATTGCGCCAAGGATATCGGCATTGCGGAGGTCAACCGCCGATTGGGCAACAAGCCGCAAGAGAGGACGATGCGCCGAAGAATCGGACGAAGCGCCAACCAATGACGTGCCGGGCAACAAAATGTCAATTCGCTTTATAATAATTGTCTATATCGGAGTAGAGTTTTTTTTTTTGCTTGTG